CTCGCAAACTCCATTTCAGGTTACCGAATATTAGATAATTCCAAATGAATGGAATCATTCACAGCTCTTGGCTGTCGTGAATAAAGGGGGAACTGTATTTTGATACAATTTCAACAACAATTACAGGATTTAGGCACCTGATAAACCATATTGGATAAACATGTAACGTCATTAATGTAAAATTCAAGTTTCAGTGGCCAGTACATTATCATATATATTGTTAAATATATTTATAGTTGTGAAATAATTATTGTAAATTGTCGCTAAAACTGTACATATATGATGTTTCTGCAGATAATCTATGTGGAATTTCAATCTTCATGGAGGTCATTAGACATGTGAAGAAAGAAGAAGACAAATTGTTGGGTTCACCAAGCTTTCGGCAATTTATAGTGCCATCATCAGGGCCTATTATTAAAAATTAAAAAATATAAAAATATATAAAAAATAAATAATATACAATTACCAATTAACAAAATAAAATAATGTACATACTTTCCCAAGAGTGCAGAAAACGATTAACATGGTAAAACTATTGTAAAAACGTCTTGGGTTTAAGGTTTTGAATCACATGGCCAGCATACTACATTTAACATGGTGAAAAATAGTCATCTATATAAAATTATAAATAATTATTAATATACACTATTCAAATTTACAAAAACAATAATTTATAATAAAATTTAATAGTACCTCACTAATAAAAATCCATATGAATAATAAAATTGTTGAACCTTATTCATAAGGATTTTTATATTTTTTAATTTTTAGTAAATAGGCCCTGATGATGGCACTATAAGTTGCCGAATGCTTGGTGAAACCAACAATTAGTATTCTTCTTTCTTCACCTGTCTAATGACATCCATGAAGACTGAAACTCCAGATAGACAAATGACAATATTAGGGGTGTCGCTCGGTGTCGCAACGGTAAGAGCGTTCACTCGACGACCCATCATCAGGGTCCCGGGTTCGAATCTCAGCGGTCATGAATTTGAACCCATAACACTTTTATTTATTTTTTACTGGTCACTGGTGACTTTGATCTACTATTTTTACACTGCGAACTAATAGATCTATCGTAGAAATAGTCCCTTCTTTATTTCTATACCCCGGAAAGTGCTCTGTCTTTAAGGTAGTTCTGCACTTTTTGCGATTCCTCTTCGATAATTTTTCTAGGATCGCCTTTCTGAAGGGGCTACAACGCGTCCGGGCAGTTTTGTCGTCAAGTAAGATACGTTCCGATGTCTCTGCTTTTTCATAATAAAGTTGGCAGATATCTGACCCTGTTTTTCTCATTCTTGGAGTCGGTTGAGTAAAAAGTGACCAATATAAAAACCTATTATTTTCCTTAATTCTTGTGTGCTGAGAGAGAAGTACGTTTTTGTTTTACTAGCTGCTAAGGAATGCTCAAACTGGAATTTTGATTCAAAAGGTGTGTGGGATGCTCCTATTTTGTTGGTTAAGTCTTTATGTTCACTTCCATTCCCAATCCTTGCTACCAACATCAGAGTCCACATAATTCATCCCCGATGCGGCAGATAGGGCAGGTATTCTCAGCTTTAAGGTAAAGGTGGAGGACTTTAAGGCTTTCTGAGTTGCTTGGCTATCCAAAAATATGTATATGAGCACCATTTAATTCATTTCTGAGCACAAAATATTATTCATCTCGGCTTGGAGAATCAATGGTTTGGGACCAAGTGGTTTCCCTAAGTCAAAATTTGGGACTTTGACTCTAGTCCCTACTCCATGTTTTATTTTAGCTCCATCTGAAAACCACAATAACATCTCTCTATCTGTTTCAGGGCTTCTATTTTTCTAAAAATCTCTTGTTGTTATTTTTATTTGGACGGGCGTCAAAAATTAGTTTTCATTTTATTTTGTAAAACATTTTTGTAACCATATCATTAATTTTCATATATTTTAGATTGCGTACATTGTGTGATGGCTTTTTATGTTACGTGTCTGTTTTTGTATACCATATCTTCTGGAACCGAAGGTTTTTCTTTCTTTATTTTTTTATACAGGGTTTTACAGGGGATTCACTAAATAAAACTTAGTTCAGTGCCACCAAGGTTTTGTATCGTGCATCTTTCCTGACATATTAACATTTTTGTGATTTTAGTCTAAAATCAATTTTTTTTAAATAAAATCGTAATTTCTCAACTTACTTCATTACAGTAAAAATCTGACCTTTATTTCGCAAACTACATTACATTTTCCAAAAGCTAAAAACTTTCGGTTGAACAATTCGCACTTTTGAATGCACAGTAGCAGCTCAAAAATAACAAATGGCCAAACCAATTTTTTGTAATGCTCAATTGTGGCTCGTGCAATGACTTTTCCATCAAAATTTTTGGGGATTTCACCAAAATTACATTAATTTATAAGTATTATAAGCTATTATATATATAAGTATAGTGTATTCAGAAGCGAAAATTGTTCCTCGGAAATGTTGATATCTTGTGGAAAATTTAATGCAGTTTGCGAAATAAAGTTAAGATTTTTATTTTAATGATGTTGAAGTTAAGGAATTGGATTTTACGTTAAAAAATCTGATTTTACACTGAAATCACAAAAATGTCAATATCTCAGGAAAGAGACAAGACAGAAACCTCGTTCTGGTGGCTTTGAACATTTTATTTAGTGAATCGCCCATGGCAGTTTTGACATTTAACCCTGTAACATCCTGTATAAATAAGACATTACATAGCCTGTTGATTTCGAAATTTGGCTAAACATGATGTACTCAAAGACAAAAAATCGGACACTCGTATTTTGTTGTTTATTTCAAAGTATATGTACTGTTATCGTTATATTAATTGCAACATATTTATTTTAATGTGAACCTAATTAAACATGATTAGATATTCATCACTTTCAATAAAAATTATTTAATTACGATGCCTTGACAAAATTGACGAAAACAGGGGAAACTATTTATGGATAGTTTATCATTTAACTAAAAATTTTATCAAATGATTTTCCGATGTGTTGGTGAATTTTCTTTCAAACCGTCATAATTAAATAATTTTTATTAAAATTCATGAATTTCTGATCTCGTTTAATTTGGTTTACATTAAAATAAATATGTTGCAATTAATATAACAATATTATAGTACATATAGTTTGAAATACACAGCAATATACGAGTGTCCGATTTTTGTCTTTTAGTGTATAAATCCATATACATACAATTTTGCACGCCCTAAATACCCGACATCAAAAACTATTTTTATTACAAATACTTTATTTTTATATATATGTTATATTTTTATTACAAATAATTAATAATTCCATTATATGTCGTGGTCTATTGACCAAATGACTTCTTTTAATTAGTTAATCTTTTTATGGAAAGTTTTGGTTGAAATGAAAAAGTTAGTGCCACGTGCGGGCTTCGAACCCACGACATTCGGCTAAATACCACTTGAGCTATCGTGACTTCGATATATAATTAATAATATTCATTATCAAAACATTAAAAAATCATGATGTATAGCAATTTTAATTTTTACACCAGATTTTTTTTAATCGGGTAACAAATGTTATCCATCAACGAAAATAATCAGTCCAAGAAAGTACTTTTTATCACGCTTAAAAACTTGTTTCCCATCTTGCTGAGTGTGTTAACTTCAAAATCAAATCAATAGGTAAATTAAGAATTATTTTAGCATTGAATTGACTGAGAAACCATCTGGCCAAATGTTGGTTTAGGATTTATTTTTATTGCTCTCACGAGAACAAATGTTTATATAAACACCGCCACGATACGTTTACCAACTTGAAACTTCCCTTTATTAACATCACAGAGAAACGCGTAAACTACACGGATGAAATCCCTTGTGTGACAAACGCCGCGGTAATTGTTACGGTTTATTTTACCGATAAAATTTATACACTTTCGGGCACAACAAAAATGCCCCGTCTATTTTAGATGTAGGCTAATTGCCTTTCATATTGAACGGTTGTTAAATCTACCAACGTGGAGTATAGCTTTAAAAGAATTTAATGAGATCGTGCCTGTTGCAAGTTCATGTATAAATCATGACAAGTAATGCCAAAGCATTACTTAGTGGTGCGGTGAATAAACTAACTTCCACATTTTGCTACACCATTATAAATTATTTTTCTACTATAAAAACTTCCTACTTTTTTTACTATTTATTTATTAATTCAACCATTGTATGTATAGAAAGTACACTCAACGCAATATATTAGAAAAAAAATTTCTAACAATAAAAATTTAAAAAGTTAAAGAAATAGGTCTCACATGTACTAAAAGTATATGTATATACACATACACTAAACATAATCATTAAAAAATGGAGGACAATCTTAGGCTCTACCCTAACGAGGCTCGCGTATATGCAATTTTACAAACATTTTCCGAACTTATTGATTGAAAATCAAAGTCATGCAGCTTCCTAAAATATCTTTAAAATGGAAAACTTTAGAAAACCCTATAATTGATGGTTTTAAAAAAAAGAATATATCAACACTATGCCAGAAAAACCTCCTGAAAATTAATGTTAAAAGTTTGCTAGAACGGAAAGGGTGAGTGTGTCGTCTAGCAACCGGGATGTTGTCACCAAATGTTGACTTTAAGAAGAGTAAAAGGGTTAGGGTAAAGGATATAAAATTCTTGTGAAAGTTGACTATCAATATTTGAAGGAAACTGATATTATGCACAAGAACCTTTGACCTAGCAAAGTCGACAAGTTCAACGCCGGACACTGCGGGAGAAATTTGTTTCGACTTTTCTCCTAAACTTTTCGCATTTATTACATTTTGAAACATTCGCTAAGTCTTTACGAGCAATCGGTAATGTACGAGTAGTATCATATAATGGAAGAGAAATTTCACGTAACGTTTGCCATAAATATTTTTTAAAGAAACTAAGCTACTAATAAACCACTGCTTTATAATAATTGCTAAATTATGTTTCTTTTTTAATGCCGAATATATGTTTGAAAAATTAAAAATAGCTTGTTTTCACCTACCTTTAGGTACTATTAAGGAATGCATCCAAATCTCCTGAAACATAAAAATGTTGATCAACTTATAGTTCATTCATTATTATACAATTGTTACAAATTACAAAACAATAAGTTTAAAAATGGCTGTGATTTTTACCAAATAACCTTTTGGTTTCTTTGGTAAAATTTACAAGCACATGTCTGAATGATATGTGGAAATCAAAGTATCTTCATAATTGGGTAAAGGGTAAATCCTTAAATTAAATGGCTCATTTTTAGCAAATAAATTATTATGAAATGTAGATTTCACAAATAATTAAAAAATGTTTGAATCATGCACATACATAATAACACCTAAAAATTAAAACTACTATTTTTTTAATCTTTATTCATTAGTTGTTTAAAAATACTTGCTACTTAAGTTATGTGTTAGTTAGTTATACATATATTCACTGTTTATATGTCTAATTAGAAGAAAAGAGTTTATACTTGCTACGATAATTACAGAAGTTTAACTTAATAAGTAACCCCATTATATTTAGTGGTCTATTGACCTAATTTCTTCTTTCAATTAATTAATCTTTTTCTGTAAGGTTTTGGTTGAAATGAAAAGTTAGTGCCACGAGCGGGATTCGAACCGACGACCTTCGGCTAAATACTCCGCTGCTCAAGCTCAAGTGGTATAGCAGAGGCGTATTTAGCCGAAGGTCGTGGGTTCGAATCCCGCTCGTGGCACTAACTTTTCATTACAACCAAATCCTTACATAAAAAGATTAATTAATAAGTAACTCTAAATCTATAAGTAACTCTAACTTTCCCTCGGTGCGACCATTAGCAATGATCGTTCAATGATGGTCGTGCAACGATTAATGTTACCATTTTGCCGGAGCGTTTGCGAATTGTTCATTTTTCACTTTAGTCGAGTCATATCGTTCGAGAAAAAAGTTCTGTTTATCAAAATGAGTTTAAAATAAATTAGAATGAAATAAGATGGGGTGAGTATATTGTTCAAATTTTTTAAAAGAAGTTCCTAGTCACGGTTTGCCGGTATCAACGATCGTCTTTCGACATGAATTACTATTAAAGCTGATTTTATTGCCGCTCAATTTTGAACGTCCGAACGCAACGAAATTTTACCCTAATAATACTGTAAGAAACCATTTTTAAATTAGTGATTAATTTCTATGACAAATATTATTTAAGTACATATTTAAAACAGCAGGTAAATCAACATTTATTATATTATTTATCCATTTATCTTCATGTTTAATTTTTGCTTTTTTATTTCAAATTTCTCAAACCACTCTAGTTCCCTCCGTTTGTTGAATCTGGGTAACACTGTTGTATTTAAATGGAAATTGAAATAGGTTTTAAAGAGATTTGATTCTAAGTGAACACGTAACTCTAAAAATTACTCTAAAACCTTCTCTTTTGAGTATTTTCCCTACCTTTTCTGATAGTTAGCCAATGTATGGCAAGCAACGAAAACCTAAAGATTCATTTTTGGTGGGATTGCTGAGTCCTATTATTGCTTCTTTTAATGTTACTTTTTTAAATTATTTTTACTAGCAACCTATCGATATTTAAATATATTTTTTTAATAGAATGTAATGTTCATTGAATGTACCAATCTTTTAGTTATTTAAAATTAAATAATATCTGAATATTAATGTAAACAGGTAAATATAATTAATAAATTTATTTCAGAACATTATGCTAGCTTTCGATATTTTTTATTAGTATTGATTTTTTGTGTGTGGTTTATGTTGCTGTTGACATTTACTACAGGCAGTATATGTGTAATATTGTGTTTCGTTAATTTTTATTTCAACCAATACCTTGCATAAATATTAATTAATTGAAAGAAGTTATTTGTTCAATCGGACACGAAACATAATGGATTGTTTTTTCATAATTTTGGACAACTATTTCTCGCCGAAGTTTTCTAAAATTACTTCTGCGAGTATGACTAAAGTTGACTATTCATAATTCGGTGTGTTGTCCGTTTAATTTTTGAATTTAAAATAGTTTTGTTCTGTCGTCAGAATTATATTCGATAGTTTTTGTGCAAATTCTTTGTCACGGTATTTTTTTAGTGTGAATACCCTGTAATATTTTCAATCGTATTATCCTGCCATTGTCTGTTTCAGGTATTTTTTATTAATTTGTTAACTAATTTTAGGAATTAACTCTAATTGGGTATTTTTACAGAAAACTCATTTGTTTTTTACATAAACGCGAAAGAATCCATGAGCTTTCATAAGGTGCGAAAGTATAATGGGCAATCCGTGTTCCAGGACGTGGTTGTTTATTTATCACTTTTCCGAATTCAGCAAATACGAAAATTTATACCGGATTTTAGTCATAAACAAAAATCATCAATGATAATGAAAATAATAATTGAACATAGATAATCTCCGAGTTTTTTAATGATTTAAGCTATTAAATATAAATATTATAAAGACAATTGCAGATTTATGATAATGAATTGATAATTAATAAATGATAATTAATTTTACATAGAAATGTAAATGGATCCCTCTAATGAAAAATGATTGATTGTTGCTATTATTATTGGTAATTATTCTATAATTATTTAATGGCTTAATGTAGTTGTTACATATCATCTTGCATGTTGATGTAAATGTACTTAATACATAGTTTTTTTAATCATTCCGTAAAGTTAATTTATATTTATACATTTGTCATTTTCTCAGAAAGGCCAACACTGTCCAAAATTACTTTCTCGTAATAAGTAAGCTGATTTAAAAAGAATTTCTCGATTCTTTTCAACTTGTTCTACGACGGGCACACGGTTATAACTTAATAAATCTTCTATTTAATTAGAAAAAATTCATTTAAATAGAAAATGTTTCCTCCCCTGACATTATCCAACTTTGTGTCCTCTTTTGAGGCCATGGTAATGGCATTTCCAAGTTGAAAGTTCGTGTGGTATTCAAGATTGATTCGTATAATGAGAAAAACGGCTTGGCATAATTTTAAAAATTTTGGAAGAAGAGGGGATGTGATAAAATGTCCCGTGCCTATTTTTGTTTTTTAAATTTTGGCCTGTTCTACTTGAGTTGCGCGTTCACTTTTCGCACCCGTGTAGGTTACATGTTAGGTAAGAAACTGATTTGGTGCCAATTCGTTTAAAATCTCTGTAGTGCCGACAGCCAAAACAAACTTTACCAAATACGAAGAAGTAACACGCATATTCCATCTTTCCCCTGCGTCCAATAACAAGGTGTTATCAAAACTGATTTTTTATTGTTTTTGCTTGAGAACTTGAGTACTTTATAAGTTATAACATTGGTGTATTATGTTTGAAATAAAATCAATGCCAGAACGCGCAAAAATGATGAAAATTCATTCAGTCATTCATACACGAACCCCCTGTCACCCCCTTGTCTTTCCCCGGCAACCCATGTTCGCAGGAAAATACAAAGAGAACAGGAAAAAGATATTTGTCTCTTCTTTTTGTATTTTTATTTTTAAATTCAAATGAATTGAAAGATTATCGACACAAAGTGAATGAAATATGAATAAAAGATTAAGAAATTGAATACGGTTTTGATTGAATTAATATTGTAAACGTGATATAAATAAGTATTAAGACATTAGCATTAACGTTCTTCAGAAGAAACTTAATATTCATTTTTATTTCTTCAAGACCATTCCTTGATCCAGAGTGTCAAAAAGGGGTCGATACATCTAACTTGAAGACAGAAATTTGTATATTTTGCTAAACAATAGATTAAAATTTTAACCATATAGTAAATTGGCGTTTTACAATTTTTATTGTTTAACCTATCTTCTAAAGCACAAGCTTAATAGTTTGAAATATCTTCATAAAAATCTTAACACTGAATTTAAGTCGCAAAATTGGGCGGTTCAGAAAAAATTTTATTGTAAGAAATGTTCCAGCCTGAGTTGGCCAGGAACCAATTCTTGTAAGAAGATAATAGTTTGAAAAAAATTGAAACATATTCTTCACAATGATTAGTGTGAATCGTACAGAACTCAGTTTTGTCTGGGTAACCAACTCTTCTACTGCCAAGGCAAAAAAGGGTTGCAAAAAGGTCATGTTGTGTGATTCTAGTAAATGGGATGGGTGAGCGATTTACTTTTAGTTGGTTTCTGATGGCCAAGTGATAAATTCGAATCTCTTGGTAAATCACCTTTTCAAAAATTGATGGATTGAAATTTACACTTTTCCTTTGCCCAGCAAAAACACTCCAGCTTAAATTTCAAGAAAAATAAGATATTCCATTTACATTTATTACGCAAATACCCACAAAACGTGTCTGTTAATATATCTGTCCAATTCTATAATTTTACTTTGCCACATGTTTTGGTTTAGACCTTCTACTGTTGTTTGCTTCCCATTTGATTTATTTATTAAAGTTTAACTTTATATAAAATGAATATTTGTTAGTTTTGAGCCGAAATGATTAAATAATATATTCCGGAATATAGGAAAGAAAAAGACGGGCTTTGCGTTCTTTTGGTGACCTCAACTTTATCTCTCCTACCCCTGCCAAATATTGTACCATTTTTTTTTTTTATGAGGGTTCGCAACAACAACCCTCAAGGTGCCGGTGTTTTTGAAAAAAAAACCATTTGTAAGTATGTCGGGTTTGAATGCAGGGCCTCTGGGTTCGAACCCGAGACCTTTACCTTACAGTTATGAGCACCGTGTCAACGCCTAAACCGTTGCGCCCCCCCCCCGCCCTATTGTACTAATTATAGTATTAGTTATTACTTTGTATTTTGTATTTATTCACTTAGTTTGTAACTAATACGCTCTAACTTAAAAAACCTTTTCCAGAATTTTTTTCTCTAAATATCTGTTTCTTATTGCATTCTGACTAAATAATTTCATAATTTAAATAGTCAACAAAATAGATGGTTTTAGGATTATTATTGAGCGTTCTAAATTATTATATTACGTATTACGTATTTCGGGCACTCTCAACCCGACAGACAAGAATGACACATCTACACGGAAAACAAACACTTTGAGCCCTGAAGATGATCTCAATAAAGATCGAAACGTTAGCATGAAAAGGAAGTGTTTTTCTAAAGCCTACGTCACACCAGACCGCATCTCACGATCTCCAAATAATCATTATAATATTACATTAAGTCTCTTATAAATAGCTTTTTTATTAGTCTTTTCAGTTGAACAGTTTTCATTCTTATCAAGTAATTTTACGTTGTCATCATTTCGACTTTCATCCTTGAATATTTTTTGAGTCGTAAGAGAACTTTATATCGCAATTACTTTTTAATATTTCTTTTATTAATGGCCGTAATTTTCTTCTTTTACAACTTATCACCGGCGGAAGTCCTTTTGTGTAATAAACTCACTACTTGAAATTTAAGTTGTTCTGCTATCATGTGAATCTTTCATTTCGTAGGCACTCTTCGTACGTTCTCTGATACTTACAAAACATTTATCACGGCTCCATATCATATAACTGAATTTTCCGAATAATTTATGGTTTGTCTACACAAGTATTATCTATAAGAGTTATTAGTCACGGGATTAGATCAAAATTTCTGGTCAAAAGTTTCTCATTTTCTATTTTATTGAGCTATAATGCATATAGTAGTTGTCTTAGAATGATTTACGCGTTCCACATATTATTTTCAGATTTCTCTTTTTTTCTCGTTTAACACATTACTAAAAATGCTGGTAATAAATATTTTCTATTGATTTTAGATTAGAAAACATCTACTGTTTAATTACTCTGTACTAAAACTACGTATGAATAAACGTTTAGCAAATACCCAAAATGTATTATAAAAGCTTGAAATACAAACACCAAAAACAAATATTATATAGTAGACATGTAAAATAAAATTATCAGTCTTTGTTTTTACATTCTTGCTTTTTAGAAATGAGATAAATTTATTCACAAATACAGTTAATTTATTGTACAGTTGCTTTATCACTATTTGTGTCAAATTACATTTATTAAAAAATTTTAAATGATTACATTTTTAATTTACCTCTTGTCAGTTTAAATTGATTCATCCGATTCCGCAGTAGTGAAATGTTTGTACCACTCATTGCGATAGTCTACTGGAAAAAATGAAACAAGGCATGAAATTGAATGATCACATACATATTTATGAGACAAGTGATAAAGAACTGGTGAACACAGTTTTTTACAAACCACTTTACAGGACCTTGAAAGGTTAATCGATAAAATAAACGTTCAGATGTTAAAAGGCACCCAATTATTGCATATTTGGAGGTAAGACAATTTGTTTTCCCAATTTGTTAGTTTGCTTTTATTAGTCTAAATGTCATACTAAAGAGGACTTCACTGTGGGCGAAGTTTATAAATGGACCTAGTCTAGACCACTCGAGACTCATTATCATTAAACTTTCTAACGTTAACCTCTCCCAACTACCAATAAATTCTATTCTAGGAACAGCCTATTCTAAAAAGAGCTTTGAAATAGAGTTCACTGACAACAAACCTACCTGGTTCCGTTAGGTTGGAAGTAAAAACCAGTATAACTACAACTCTATTGACTCTCTCTCTCTCTCTCTCTCTCTATATATANTATATATATATAAAATCTTAAAAACAATGAACCTTTGATATAAATTCGTCTTTTCTAAATTTTATAGACTATTTTTAAGTCTGATAGTTTAAATGATGAGAATGCTTACGGTGCTTAGGGGTTATATAACATTTTAGAATGTGTAAGTAAATTTTAACAATTTTCTATGGGTCTGTGGGGGATTTTGGTAAGTCCTGGACCGATAGGGATAAGGTGCTTAGAGGCTTAGCCCTCCTATTCTTAGCAACACCCTATGCCATGATCGATTTTAGATAGATATTGGGTTAAGAATGTCAGCTATTTCTTCTGGGTTCTTACAGAACGAAGAAATGAAAAAATAATATAATCGTGAATGTGTGAGAGAGAATATGAGCGAGAGAGAAAGAGAGAGGGAGAGAGTTTGAGTGAGGGTGAGCGAGAGAAAGAGGGGTAAGTTTTCACACGTGGATTATTGGTAAACATTTAAAAATGTTAATGTATGTTCGTTGAATTATATGGTTTGGGCAAAATTTACTAAATTTAAGTTTTCTTGTAAATATGACTCATTTACTCTAATCACCGTAAATCCAGATTTATTATTTTATTTTCTCGTCCATCCATTATATTATATAGATAAACAGATAGGGAATGAATACAATACTTAAAATTCTCACTTCCAATTCATTCAAAAATAGACAATAGTTTCTGGTAATTACGAATAACGATTTTGAATCTCCACATGAAAAATTATGACGTGATATCCTAACACTTGTGATTAAATTTTGTAGCCTGGAAGAAAGTACCAGATTTTTGTTTGCTTCTTGTATATTTAGCAAGTAAGCAATTTAATATGTCTATATTTATATTTACATTTAACATTAAAATGATAATATTCAATAATATAATTATTCCATACTTAATCTTCACTTCAAGTTTAACTTTATAATTTTATGAACGCTTTATAATTGTGATAGCATGTTAAGATTTCCTTTCTCATAATTTGCATAGTGTCTTTTGCACAGAACTTGATACTCTTGTTTGTCCAGCAAATGTAGCAGAACGACACGAAAAAAATTTCCGTCTTTAGCCTTTTTCCCCCTCCGGTAGGTAAGCTTCACACAAAGTCCCCTAATGTTGTAATTGCTCTGAACTTGGTGTTGGATTTCTTTCATCAACTTTAACAGAAAACCTTTTATGACAGTATTTTACGGAAGCGCGCCTACTAAAGCTAAACTCGTCCGTTACGTTTCGTGATTTATGGAAATTGACCACTTTCCCGGGAGACAAGTTTAATTATTTGTATCGTGATTTCGATCAAACCCGTCGGATTAGTTGACACGACCTAATTTCCTGTTTCTATGAAATTTGTTAAAATTAAATACTAATTTTAAATTATATTGGTTATCAGATTAAACAAATCTTAATATAAGTTCAGCTATTCAAAAAAATTTCACCGTTCTATTTATCAATCCTTATATGTATTAGTAGTCATAATTGACCTATTAATTATTTAAATTAATTTTACTTTATATTTAAAATCTTAGTACACTAGCTTTTTCATCTCAACCAAGATCTTAGATAATAGTATAATCAGGTTTTGTTTAACTTCCAATTAATAACTCTCTACAGTCTTTGTTGTATAATCAACTTGTGTCCGTACACTTGGGTGTATTTCTTTCTTTTTTTATCAACAAGAAAGAACAGTCCATCTCTAAGTCATTTCCAAAGGAAAAACATGATTAAAAGCATCTGACAATCGTTTAAGGCCTTGCCAAACATGACGAAGCATTTAATAATCTAAGTCATTCAACTGTCTTCATATCATTCGGCCATTTGTTACGATCACAAAACACTTTCTCGCCAAGCATAGATCTGGTCCTTCGCGTTTAAAAATCCTGTGGACATAAACGGATATTGGATTTGATCAGAAAACGTTCCCACAAAAGTCGTCTACAAAGACTAACCGTAACATATAATATTACAAACTTTTTGTCGTAAAAATATCCAGAAAACTTGTAAAAATATTCGTCGGGCTCAGAAAGAAGAGGAAGAAGTTGTTATAAAATTACAGACTTAATACCATCTAATAATTTTGTTTATAAATCATATTCTTATGAACCCATATATGCATATGCCTGTGCTATATTCTTTCTTTAAAAAACTGTTATACCTTTTTTTTAGTGAAAAATTGCACATTTACTGCGCGAAGCGTAATCGTTTACGGTCAACATGGTCCGTTTCTACAGATTGCTTTGTCCAGTCGTTTAATATCTGTTCTCACCGTGTTTTTCTCTGACCAATGCCTTTTTTTAGATTCGATAAAAAGTCACGAGTCACGATTCCGTCCGTTCGTTTTCATTTGTTTCAACGCAGAGTTATTACAGTCGAAAATGATTTGTGAGAAACGCGCAATTTATTTATGCTTTGATTTGTTTTGTTTTATCGGTGTATTGGTCTCGTACATTGCCAAGTCGGCGAGCATGTTCGTTTATTTCCCATGTAGTGAAGTTAATATAAAATTGACTCTACGTGTGTTGTTAGTCTGTGACATGTGTTACTTAGTTTGATCGCTCTTAATTGACACTAAATGATTGATGCTTTCTTAGCCTATGTCACATGGTCGGTCCTGTGTTTTCTTGGGTGGTACATAAACTTCAAACTTAGCCGAAATATACGACTCTCTCTCTCCCTCTCTCTCTCTCTCTCACACTCTCTCTCTCTCGCTCTCTCTCTCTCTCTCTCTCTCTCTCTCTCTCTCTCTCTCTCTCTCGCTTTCTTTCTTTTGCGCTCTCATACTTCAGTCAATTGCTTGCTGCCCAATTGCTTATTCATCTTTAACCACTCAATTTTTAGGTTTAGCATTATTAAATGCAAAAATGAGACTCTGTATACATAAATACCAACTTCTAAGTCTTCTACATAAGTTTGTATTCGTAGTAATTGACCTTTGATTTTAAAATGGATTCACAACGGTTACTAAAAAGCGATATTTTAATTTCTAAATAGAGTTTGCTTGTGGACAGCATAAAAACGTTGACGGTCCTGAATATTCAGCATATTCAGTCAATTCAGAAATAATTTACAAGGGACAATTTTCAAATGCGCCCCCCACCCGCATTTTCATAATTAGCATCATCTATAAAGAAAACCAATTAATACGGCCGTAAATTCGGAACGACTTAATTGAAAAGACGAACCAGAGAAGACAATTCCATTTTCAATTATAATATGATCTTAAAACTCAAAACAATAACTGATTCGCTAGGAAAATTATTGCGGACCATATTTAAAACCATAATAGAAATAAAGAATATTTTTATCAAAAAACAATATACTAATAACAAAAATGTTTTCTATTTTAAAAACAAAATTAACTTGCTATTCATTGCAACTAGCATGCAAAAGTCCAAAAAGTAATTTTATCTCCCGACTGACGCTAGTTGTAGAAAATGTCGCTAAAACTTGTCTTTAGAGACGAGATAGAGCAAACTACAAAGAAAAAACTCAGAGGTAATGATTGTACAGTTGACTTTCCTCACGCCACTCACGTCCTAAGGTCAAGGATTATTACAAACACTTATCCATCTGCACCGCTTGACTTTTTTTTTTTACTTTTGTTAGTATTGTTGAAAAACCTAATGTAAATAAAACATTGAATAGAATTAATTTTTTAATTCAAAGAAAACTTCAAAAGAATTTATATCTAATTTTTATATATTTTCATTTTTTTGTTAGATTGGCATTTTTAATGGTTAAATGGTTGATATCTTTTTTTGAAAAAAAATCAAAACTAATAAATTACTTTTATCTAAGCTTACTTTAGTATAAATTAAAGATTTTAAGACAAAATTTACTTACTCAATTAATTATACAAAATTTTTTTGAAATGAAAAATTTGTGTCACATGCGGGATTCGAACCCACAACTTTCGGCTTCGATATAAACGGGGAATTGAAATGAGAAGTTTGTGGCACAGGCGATCGAAGTCACGGTAGCTGGGGGACCGCGGTAGCCGAGTGGTTAGCATGAGAGACTCTGACGCCGCGGTCGTGGGTTCGATTCCCACCGTCGCCTCTGGCCCTTTTTTCCCGATAACCCCCAATTTGAACTTGAACACACAAGAATTCGTACCATGGCTAATATGCAAGATCATAAGGCCAATAAAAAAAATAATAAATAAATTTAAAAAAAAGTCACGGTAGCAAGTGGTAGAGCGTCGTATTTAGCCGAAAATCGTGGGTTCGAATCTCGCCTCTGACACAAATTTTTCATTTCAAAAAAATTATGTGTAATTAATTGAGTAATTATATAATTAAGCATAAGCTGATGAAAATAATTAAAAATTAGTACAAAATTTACTATTAAATAATTTTGTACCAAGAAATGGTTTAAACTTAGTTATAAATTTGATTTCAAGAAAGAATATTATACTTTATAGACTTTGTGTTGAACAATCCAAATTAAATTAGCAAAATGCTGTTAGATTTAATATGTAATTTAAAGAAATAAATTGGAAGTCTCCTTTTATAA